TACCCACTTTGATGCATTTTTCAAATTTGCCTTGGGGCGGAGTTATCTTTTCACAGGGGGGTAAGATACACTTGAAAGATCAAAACTCGACATTTGGATCAGTGTGAGGTAGTGTTTACTGTATTTTCACAGACTGGACTGGTGTCCAATGAATCCAACACCCAAAAATTATATTTTTCTTTTGGTCAGTAAACGCACCAAATTGATGCCTGTGTTATAAGATGCTGAGTGAATCAGTCACTGGGAGTCACGTAAACATTTGAACTAACCAGACCTGATGATTGAATGGATACATTCAAATGCTTCATCAGACCAACTTCACATAGTAACACAGTTTATATAACAGACTGAGGAGAAACAGAAACAAAAAGACAACAAACACACAGACTGACAAAAATGACTAGACTTTTTTCTTTAAAGAGCTCTAATCTGATTAATATTTTTCTTTAAGTTGGTTTAATTTGTGCAAAAACCAGGAGGACAGTTATTTATATTTGTGGATTTCCAGTGACAGACAGAAAAAACTCTGTAAACTGTTGCTGCTGTAGAGTCATTTATGGAGACAAATTTTATACTGAACCACAGATAAGAAGAAAAAACTGCATGCTGTTAAATAAAGTTCTTAAAGAGGATTTGGAGTCGGCTATAATCAGAATCACAGACAGATAAGTGTGGCTGGTGCATTTCTAAATGTAAATTAAAGCTATAAATGGGCTGTCAGAACATATTATTGTCTTGTTCTTTTTTATTATTAGGTTTGCAGGACCCAACAATAACCTCGTCTTGATCTGGATGTATAGTGAAGGGGTACAGGGGGTGTTTGACTAGTTGCAACAGATTCATATCCTGTTTTCTCTTCAGGCCAGTTTGTTTAGTTTCTCCACATCATACTTAAAAATCAGGGTGGAGGGAACGAGACAGCTCCGCCTCTTCCTATCAACAAACGAAGAGGAGAAAAATGGGAAATACAAATGGGAACAATGGTAGGATGAGTGAGGAAAGAACTGTCAGACACATGAGTCAGTCTGAACAGTTGTTCTTTTGTCATGAGCTGTTTTCCTGCTGCAATGAAGCTGCGTCACCATGTCCATTTAAGGTAAGAAAGCCAAAAGCACAACCATTTCCTCACTTCTAATCCCAAACATGAGCGTGTTCAGGAGAGAGGCAGCAGAGATCTTGGAGAGCAGGTCAACATGTTATAAGTGAGTCTGCCTACCCACCCCCAACCCCCGACCATTTCCATTTGTGCTTCCTTTGAGTCCCCTGATGTTCTGCAGTGCTTCCTGTAAAATGTCCAGCCAGCAGGCCTTCTGTGTGCATGTGAGTATGTGCGTAAGTCTACACAGATTGCATTGCAAACAAACACAAATAAATGTGGTTGGAATGTCATGGAAAAAAATAACTAATCACAAATTCCCACAAACAGTTTGCATACCAATAATATTAGCCTTGGTACGGTTAGTTCAGTGGTTCCCAACCTGGGGGGGTGCCAACCTAGGCAGGTAGGTTCTTGTTGATGACTGACAGTTTAATATAATTAAGGGTGCAATTGAACAGAGCAATACAAGTGTTTCTCATTTTGAACCTGATCTATTACAGGAAAGTAATCACTTACTAAAAAAATACCAATGACAAAAAAAAAAAAATACACAAATGACAACTTTTTTTAACGCTTTAAAATTGTTTGGCACCATGGTTGTATGACACAAGGTTTTGAACACAAAAACAAAGTGTCTATGCATTTGCAGTCATCGTTCACCAAAAACCGTCCGTCCGTCTGTTTTCTTCCTCTTATCTGGGATCAGGTCTCGGGGGCAACAGCCTAACCAGAGAGACCCAGACTTCCCTCTCTCCAGCCACTTGGACCAGCTCCTCTGGGGGATTCCAAGGTGTTCCCAGACCAGCTGAGAAATATAGTCCCTCCAGCATGTCCTGGGTCTTCCTCTGGGTCTCCTCCCAGTGGGACGTGTCCAGAACACCTCACCAGGGAGGAGTCCAGGAGGCATCATCCTAACCAGATGAACCACCTCAACTGGCTCCTCTGGACGTGGAGGAGCAGCGGCTCTACTCTGAGTCCCTCCTGGATGACTGAGCTTCTCACCCTATCTCTGAGGGAGAGCCCAGATACCCTGCAGAGGAAACTCATTTCAGCTGCTTGTATCTGTGATCTCCTTCTTTTGGTCACTACCCAAAGTTTGTGACCATAGATGAGGGTAGGAACGTAGACCGACTGGTAAACTGAGAGCTTCACCTTCTGGCTCAGCTCTTGCTTCACCAAGACAGACCGGTACAACACCCGAATCACTGCAGATGCAGCACCAATCCGCCTGTCGATCTCCCGCTCCATTCTTCCCTCATTCATGAACAAGACCACGAGATACTTAAACTCCTCCACTTGGGGCAGGACCTCCTCCCGACCCGGAGAAGGCAACCTTCCCTTTTCCAGCTCAAGACCATGGTCTCGGATTTGGAGGCACTGATCCTCATCCCAGCCGTTTCACACTCGGCTGTGAACCGCTCCAGTGAGAGCTGGAGATCACGATCTGAAGGCGTTCACCGAAAACAAATATTAAAATTGTTTTGGAAGGTGAGGGTATTTTAAACTTGAGCCATAAAGTTCCTGTACTAACAGCTAGGATTTATTGGCTTTCCAGGTCAAATTGTGCACCAGAATCTGTTTAGGTGTTAAAGTACAAGCTAATTTATAAGCAGAAAAGACTCAATTAGAGGTACACCGACTGCAGTTTTCTGGCCGATCACTGATTATTAAAGAGTCTGACCTGCAGATACGAATTTGAAATAGCTAAAATAGCAGCCAATCTCAGATCT